TCACAGCATTGTACAGTCCTGGTGGCGCTGGTAGACTGGGGGTGGCACACATTCTCCTGTGTCTGGCTTCTTTCACATGGCATGTTTTTGAGATTCAAGACTCGTGTGTGTATTATGGGCCAAAGCAAATGATTATTACATTGGCCCTCTTGAGAGGATTTTTGACAGGGACAAAGGAAATACAAATATAAGACTGATGAGATTAAGGGGGGCCGGCCCGGTGGTACAAGCGGTTAAGCGCGCACGTTCCGCTGCGGTGGCCCAGGGTTCACCGGTTCGGATCCCGGGTGCGCGTCGACTCACCGCTTGTCACGCCGTGCCGTGGCAGCGTCCCATATAAAGTAGAGGAAGATGGGCATGGATGTTAGCCCAGGGCCAGTTTTCCTCAGCAAAAAAAAAAAAAAAAAGGAAAGAAAGAAAAAGAGGAGGATTGGCAGATGTTAGCTCAGGGCCGATCTTCCTCACAAAAAAAAAAAAAAAAGACTGATGAGATTAAGTAGAAACCCACAGGCCTGAATCTGAATCAGAAGTCTCAGTATGAACTCATGATGTATTTCACCTTTAAAGACATATATTTTTCTGAGCCTTGTTGACTGAAAAGGCTTAGAAATGACAACCAACCCAGGAGCAATGAGAACTGTGACTGTCCCGATTATGGTTTCTAAATACTATTTCCCACTAAAGGTAAGTATGGCTCCTTGGAAGGACGCTGGATTCCAGGCTTAGGAAATGAAATGTGCAGGCAGGTGTGGAACATCTTGTCATAACAGGAATTAAAGAACTTTGGAGACCACTGGGGTCAGGTCAAAAGGACTCAGATGCCGCCTTGAAGAGGTTCCCACAGGTCAGGGATCAAATACTTGAACGTGAATAAGATAAGAACTGCAGGGGATTGAAACATATCAAATATGCTTAAGTCTATTTATTTATAATGATATATGTAGTTTTAAATCTCCTTCGTCACTTGGGAGAGTGCTAGAGAATCAACTCATTATTTTGAAATCTAATAAATATTGGGAAAGAAACAGGCATTTACCTGGAGTTTCCTATATAAACTGTACCTCAGGGTAACAAAGAGTTGGTGAGCAGTTTTCCTACTAGAAGTAATCCAGAGAAAAATGAAGGAATGCTAGAATTCAAATATCACAATTTTGCAGCCCTCAGCGAATTAATGGACTTAGGTACTGATCATCAATAGCTTTAACACTGCAAAAGGAGACAACTGGACATTCTGTGCCTCCTAATGGAGGACACACCACCACCTACAAAGTAGTCATCAAAAAATCGAACTGGACTCTGACCAAGCTTCTAGATCTAACTACCAACACACAGGAAGCAGAGAGGACAGAGGAGCATGCGAAAGGACACCACTGAGGTGCAATCAACAAAATCCACGCCGTGGGAAGCTCTACAGGACATACAAGCCAGCTTCTTGTGCAAAATGTTGCAAGGAAAAACAAAAGGGAGATGGAATCACACTGACCAATCACGATGCAAGGACCTCATTTGGATCCTGATTCAAACAAACTGTAAGAAACGGAAAACAATTATAAGACAATCAGGGAAATGTGAACAATGACCGGATATTTGATGACATTAAGGAATTATTGTTAGTATTATTTAGATGCGACAATGGCATTATCTATGTTTTTAAAAATAATTTCTATCTTTTAGATACACAGAAATATTTACAGACGAAGTGATACGATTTCTGGGATTTGATTAAAAATATCTAGGAGAAAGGAGTGGGCGGGGGTATAGATTAAACAAGTGGCTATTAATCTTGAAGGGGGTCCCAATGGTCAAATATGGGATGATTTGAGCAACAAAATAAACAACGAGAATGGATTGTAACTCGTAGAATAAAACAAACATCCTTGAGTCCATGTTGAAGTGAATAAATAAACCAGTAAATGGGAGAAAAAGGAAAGCTCTTTCTTACAGTAAATTCCAATTAATAAATATGGAAGGAACGATGGAAATAGAAAATTGCCATTTGGCAAAGACCACAGTAATAACTGTTTCAGGTAAGAATGATCAATGGATGCTAAAATTAGGAGGGGAAAAAACGATAGGAAAGAGGACATTTACACAGTGTCAAAGTCCTTTCCCACAAGAGACTTATTAGGTACAAAGGGACAAACAGTAACTCCACAGTGGAGAATCCCGGCAGACACCACCTCCGCCCGGATAAAAGTGAACATCACCGACGGGGCCAAGTGTCATCACGTGCCTCCTGACAGGATGCACAGCGTCGTTTCTAAAAGATTCCTGCTAAAATTGCATAACTTGAATTCAATTATGAGGAAATATCAAGAAAAAACCAAATTGAAGAACATTCTACAAAATAAGTGGCCAGTACTCTTCAAAAACGCCACGGTCATGAGAGACAAAGAAAGACTGAGGAACTTCCCCAGAGCAAAGGACACCAGGGGACACGATGCTGAATGCAACGTGTCCCCAAAAAAGATCCTGGTTGGATGGCTGGTGACGTCTGCAGAAGGTCTCCAGGTCAGTTAATATCTTGTATCAACGCCAATTTCCTGATTTTATAATTGTTCTGATTGTTACGTAAGATGTTAGCATTTGGGGAAGCTGGTTTAAGGGCATATGGGAAATCTTTGTACTATTTTTGCAACTTTTTTGTAAGTGTGAAATTACTTCAAAATGAACAGTTAAAAACAATTTTTAAAAGTGGTTATTAGTTGATAATTATCGAAGTGATGGGCCCTGGGGGTTCATGACGCTACTTGCTCTACTTGGGGACATATTTGAAACGTTCCATAACAAAAGGTAAAAAGAGAGGTTTAAGAGGCAGAACAACCACATGCAAGGTATGGACCTTGTCTATTTGATCAAACAAATCAACGTAAAAGAACATTTCTGAGACAGCCAGAGAATTTAAATACGGATTGGCATTAGATAATACTAAGGAATTGCTGTTGATTTCATTAGGTAGGGGTTTTTTCATTGTGATAAAATACACATAACATAAAATTTACCAAAGTAACTATTTTACAGTGCACAAATCAGTGGCACTAAGTATTCACAATGTTGTGCACCATCACCACCATCTAGTTCCAGACATTTTTATCAACCCATAAGGAGACCTCGTACCCATTAAGCAGTCACTCCCCATTCCCCCACCAGCCCCTAGCCACCATTAATCCATTTTATGTCTCTGCAGATTTACCTATTCTGGACACTTCACATAAATATCATGTAATATATAAAATGTGGCCTTTTGTGACTGGCTTCTTTCACCTACCATAATATTTTCAAGGTTCACCCATGCTGTAACATTTACCAGTACTTCATTCTTTTTATGGCTGAGACACTTCACTGTGTGAATAAACTACATTTTGTTTGTCCATTCGCTGATGGACATGTGCACTGTTTCCACCTTTTGGCTACTGTGAATAGTGCTATGAATATTCATGTGTAAGTTTTTGTTTGAACACCTATTTTCAATTCTTTTGGATATAAACCTAGGAGCGGAATTGCGAAATCACATGGTAATTTTAAGTTTAACTTACTGAGGAGCCACCAAACTGCTTTCCACAGTGGCTGCTCCACTGTACGTTCCTACCAGCATTCCTCTAAGAGGGTTCCAATTTCTCCACATCCTTGCGAACACTTGCTATTTTCTACTGTTCTATTTTATTATCACGGCCATCCTGGGGGGTGTGAAGTGGTACCTCGCTGGGGTTTTAATCTGCATTTCCCTAATGACTGACAGCGTTCGCTGAGCATCTTTTCACGTCCTTGTTGACAGGTGTTCGGTGTCTGAAGGTACTATGCTGATGTCAAAAATGACCATCTTTTTCTGAAAGGCATACTACAGTATGAGAGGATACAATCACAGTAAGTCTGAGATTTGCTTGAAAATATGACGGCAAAAAATAAGTCAATTTTTAAAAAGAAAGAAAAGGGAGAAAAGAAGAGAATTTGACAAAATCTTTTAATTGCTGAATCTGGGTGATGGCTATATAGAGGGAATCACTGTACCATTCTCTCTACTTTTGTGTGTTTCCAATTTGTCACAATAAAAAAACAAATTTGGCCCTAAGAAACAAAGTCCTGAAAACCCAGGTTGTTTATTCCTGCAGTCTTCATTCATTCAAAAAACAAGCTTCTCCTTCTCTACTAGCCTCACAGGGCATTTCCTGGGTGTTTTCCGGGCACTCCCAAGACCCCGTGCCTTCTGACTTCTGTGAATCTTAGGGGAAGTGTGGGCACAGAGGTTCTAGATTTCCATGGCTGCCAGCCTTCTTTTTCTAAGCATTAGGCTGGAACACATGCAGGAACTGGGCGTCCAACAGTAAGGCAGCACCATGGTGATCCTGGGGCACCAGCCTCACCCCACGATGCTTACACCGTCCCCTGGTGCAATGTCCAAAACAGACACCAGGACAGCCTTGGGCTGGCTGCAGACACATGTCCATTGCTTCAACAGTGCTCTCAGGAAACCACCCAGTTAGCTCCATACTAACTGGGAAGGGGGGTGGGCACTGTAGATGCTAAAATCATAACCACTTCATTTTCCCTTTTAAGACATATGTTTGGAAGGCAATCTGTCTCACAAATAGTCATCATGTAAAGGTGGCAAGATGTGTGATTTTATTATTTCTTACATAGTGTTTTAATTTTGCTATTATACTGTCTTTCCAGTGAAATATTTTTAACACACTGATAGGACCTGTCAATTCTTATCCTTCCAGAGAAGAAGCAGAAGTCGCTTAGGAAAAGCCACAGGCATTTCTGTGTCTTGCTCTTACACTGAAACTAATTTAACAGGTTAAAACGTTCAGTGGGCCTCCTGTGCTGTCTTCTTCCCCTTTTCCAGTCAAATCAGCTCTCATGGGGGGTCCACACTTGGCTGCCTGGCCAACCTCCACAGACTGTCTGAGCCCTCAAACCAGTCTCTGGCCCAGGGCTGCCGCAGCGTGGGTGCTCTGGGCCTCCCCCAACACAGCTGCCTCCACGCGCACCCTTCCTACCTGGTGGGCTTCCACTCCCATCTCTCGCAGGGCAGACTTGAAAAACTCAGGAGAAGGTTTCCCCACCACTTCGGCTTCAATACCACAGGCATACTGGGAGGAGAGAAGGACACAGCATGGGTTTGGGACGAAGCACCAGGTGGATAACCGACCTGAAGTGAAGGCCTCCCTCTGGGGAATCAAGGGAAGACACCCCAAACATGCGCCCGGGGCCAGGGGCCTCCAGGGGGCAGGACACAGGGGCTGAGAGACATGTCTTGTAGGCAAGAGATCACGATTCCACCTGCGGCTGCCCAGGATGCTCAGGGACCCCCACCAAGCGCCCTGCCATCTGCTTCAATGCCCAACCCCAGTTGAGTTGGCCCATGGCTGGCCAAGCCACAAAGTTTCACATGGGCCACCCTGACCATGCTCTCATCGGCACTCTTGCCTCTCCCCCCGCTTCTCCCCCCGCCACTCCCAGCTCTGTCACAGGCCCTCCAGGGGAAAAGGTCCAGGGCTCCATCTGCCAGTCTGTCCACCCTCCCCGCTGAGTGCAGGCAGGCTGGGGTCAATGCAGAGGCGACATGAGCCGACCTGGGGCAGGAAGCCGGCTGGGGCAGCTGACGGGGCATGGGTCAGAGCAGACACTGGGGAGCCCCATCTGGCCTGGCCTTGGAAACCAGGGAAGGGAGTCGGGAGGAGCCCAGTCAGGACACGTCAAGCTCAAGGTGCTGCAGACGACCAGGTGAGGAATGAGGAGGGTGGTCCACACAGATACAGAAGCCAGGAGTCCGAGAGGAAAGCGGCAGAGAGCATGCTGGGAGGGCCAGCGGGTCAATGACAGGCAGCGCGGGGTATGGGGGGTGGGTGGAAGCAACAGGGGAGCAGAGTGACCACAGGGCAGCTGAGGGGCCACACTCTAGAGGAGAGGGCACGCTCGGCCTGAAGCCCCAAATGAGAGGGCCTACTCTGAAAACATAAAAGGCAATTCAGATGTTGAGTACACCCCCTTCTCCAGAAAGACCAGGAACATCCCAGATGGCCCTGAGATCTGAAGAGGGCTCAGAGAGACCCAGGGCAGGTACCTCAAGAGCCTTCACGTAGGCACCAATGTCCAGCATCAGGCCAGAAGTCTCCTTGTAGTAGCGTCTAGAAAAGAGCAGAAATGGACAAGGTGAGCTGAGCCTGGTGTCTGGGAGATGCCAAGAGAAGCTGTTCTGACTTGGTTCTGCCAGCTCAAGAGAGCCACGTCACGGAGGAAGGTCAGTCCAGACGCCATGCTGAGAATGACCAATGGAGGTCAGCACAACAGAGCCTAGCGGTGGGCCGTCAGGCCCGGGAGACAGAGACAGTGGGCCACAGCTCTCAGGCGGAATGGCCCCCTGCTGCCAGCCTTGTGGGGACCCTGCTGTGATGATTAACAGGGGACCCCAGGGGCAGATGGGTCCAGTTGCTAACGCACAGAGAGACAAGTGACCTGTGTTCTAGGAAAGGAGAGCCGGCCCACAGAGCATGTGGCAAACCTCTAACTGCTAATAATTAACCCCTAATTGCTGTCTGAAGAAGAAAACTCCATTAGTTCCGCAGCACCCTGCCACATCTCCTATTAGCCAGAGGTCAGGAGAGCTGCCAGGTTCTGTGGGCACCAGATGCTTTTACGAGAAGACAACTATTTCTTCCCCATCTCACTAAAGACCGAGACAGCTCGGCTCCCAGGAGCATGCCTTTCTGAAGACTCTTGTGAGCACTGTGCCGAGCCCCAGCCACCACTGCCTGGCCCACCCCAGGCCACATGCAGACCTCTCGGGACACCTGGTGAACCAAGCCTGGGTCTCTCTGAGCAAGACTCTAAAGAGGGGAGAAGGTAGTTTAATCCGTGTTGCTCTGAAGACAGGCTTAGTGGAAACCCAGGACTATCTAGATGTGTTGAGACCCATCACATCAGTTAGCCCTCTCCCGGGCCCTTTGAATAGGGAGGTATTAAACGACATGCATGCAAAGAACCTAAGGGAAGAACAGTGAAGCATGCCGGCTTCAGGCTTCCAATCCTCTCTCCACTTCTTTTTAACTGTGGGCTTTGGGTTGCTTAAGCCATCTGGGCCTCAGTTTCCTAATCTGTAAAATGGGCAAAAAAAAAAAAAAACAAAAAAAAAAAACAGTGGATTTATTGTTGATTGTTGTGAGGTTTGAACAAAATAATGCATGCAAAACTCTTAACATGACGCTTAGCATGTATAAATTGCTCAAAAAATATTAGAGATTATTACTATAAATAACTGTTCACCCAGACTGAGATGTAGGCAATAAGACACGAGCCGGGGAAGAAAGAATGAGCACAGGTCTTTCCCATCTTGGGGGTGACACCTGGTCTGTGCCTATTTAAAATGTTTGAACTGAGCTCCCAGGAGCTGCTCAGGGCTGTGCTCTTCCTCCAGCTCCGCCCAGGAACTCCACCTGTCCCTCTCTGCCCCACCTGAGGCCTCGGAGGCCAGGAGCCTGCAGTGCCCACCAGCTTCACCCAGCGCTCATAGGGGACAAGTGCTCTCCCGCCCTGCGTTATCCACTGCCCGCCTCAGGAGCTTCCGAGCTGGACATCGGCTGGGCTGCAGGGCTGTAGCCAAACCCCTGGCCTTGGCAAGGACTGGTCCCCTGCCACTCACTCCTGTCAGGTGGATTTGGGGCCTGGAGCCCATCTGTTGAAACTGTGGGGCATCTCCTGTCCAGCAGTGACAGGACTCGCTGGTCTTCAAGCGAACCCGAGGCCTCTCCATCAGGGTCCGAGGCTCTGGGCTCTAGGGGCACCCCACAAGGATGTGGACCAGCTGGGACACTGCACACATGCAGGAAGGTGCCTGGTGGCCAGAGAGAACTGCCACCTGCTTATAGAGCCGGGACCTGCAAATGCTCCCCCTTTTAAAGGGTGACCCTAAAATACAAGCTTGGACGTCCCTAATTGCATTTGTCTTAAATCCAGAATCTAGACACATATTCTGCATTATTCAGCCTCAAAACAGTGTTTCCCTTTATTTTTCCCATTTCTACCATGAACTACTTTGGTATGACCATTTCCTTAGCTGGGTCCAGAGTTGCAAGGAAACGGTGAACGATGAAGTAAAGCAAAGTTTGGTCGAGAGGAAGAGGGAGACGCTGGGTGCTAGGGCCTGTACTCATTGGTACTGCAGTTGGTGTCCGTCGACTCAGTCCCCCAGACATTCAGGACGCAGCTGCCCCACACCCCCCTGCAGGACTCGGCGACTCTCCCAGACTCAGGCTACCCCCCAGGGACTCCCGGTCTGGTGGGGAAGCAGAGAGTCCACCAACAAATCTAAAGGGCAGGACACAAGCCAGGATGAGGGACCCTGTGCTCTGCGCACTCTGCTGGAGTAGGGCTGGACACCCTGGGGACAGGGGGCTCCCAAAGAGGGAAACATTGAAGCTGAGACCTGAAGCCCAAGGGAGGGGAGTGGAAGTGTCTGGGCCTGGGGACCCCGTGGGCCAGACGCTGCTCTGTGCAAACGCCTCGGTCAGGCGCTCAGAGAGCCACCCCCTCGTGCCCTCGCCCTCCGCGTGATGACTGCCACGGGCGGGGAAGAAGGGGACAGTGGGAGCCCAGACTGGAGGGAGGGGGACCAGGGAGGCCTCCTAAGGCCGGGACATGTCGAAGGGAGCCAGGGCGGAGGGCAGAGGTGAGGAAAGAACGCGGCCCGCGTAGGAGAGGCTTACCCAGAAGCCAAAGAGAAAATTATAAAACAACGCCACCCTGCTGCAGCAGGCACGGCCTTGTCTGGAGCAGCGAGCCTGGGGGCCTCTGGCCCAGCCCTGTCTCAGCCCCCGGGGCCGGCACCTCGCCTTTGGAAAACCCTCCTGAGGACACCACGCCGCACAACTTCTGCCCGCCTCATAGCTCCCAAGGCCTTCTTCCACAGTGACAGAAACCCGGACTTTCTTAAGTTTAAATTTAGTCCTATGGGAGGAAAAAACTGAACGTGCAGCTTAAAATACACAATCAAAACCGTGTCTCTGTTACACTTATTTTTAGAGTCTAAAGAAAAAACTGACTTCCATAAATCAAAATGAGAAATTTTAAGATTTCTTTTTTAACTGAATCTGGGCTTGTTTTTATAGTGCCCAGAATTTTTCTTTATTTCTTATTCATTCAGGAAAACACAAAGGCATCTTGAAGGCCATATGAAAACATTTTTAGAGAAACAGTAAATACAAGGACCTAAGTCAATTTTTTTTATTCTAAAGGCCCATGTTATTCCCGAAACGCAAGAGCTTTGATACATTTATCTTTGCTTACTGGCATAATCAAAGCACTAGCAGGCCCGGCGAGAACCTGAGTGCTGCAGCCACAAAGAAGAAATTGTGGACGCCGGAAAGACAGGAAAAAGCCAGGGAGAAGCAGTCAGAAAGATTTTATGCTTTATTCTCCTGCCCTTCCGATTATTCAGCACAGCCTCCCTTCAAAATGACCACTTGACCTTTCCCACAAGAGCCATTAACCTTCCATAGTCTGTCACGTAAACAGCTTAATTTTCTGATGGCGGCATGACAGAAGAAATTACAAAGGCAATTCCCACTCTCAGTCCAAACAGATGCCAAATGTAAATCACTCCATTTCCAGGAGGAGGACATTCTGCCCCAGTGCCTCCGCCATCCTGCCTCCTCGGGGGCACCACTCAGCCCTGCTCTGGTGGAGGACAGCCCCTCACCATGGGCGACCCACTCTGACGTGACAGCAGCCCTTCATGGGTCCTTAGGCTGTCCCGAGAAGCTGTGACCTAGGCCCAAAAGCCATCGGTTCCTTTCTCTGGTTTTTGAGCACCTGACCCACAGCCCAAGTCAGAACCCCCATCAGCTAGAGACCTCACTAATCACTTATTTGTAAAACAAACCCTGGCCTGTTACTGAATATGTTGCAGAATTACAAAGCTGAAGGCAACTGATGCTGTATTTTTTTCTTTTTCAACAATGTATTTATTTTGACTACTAACCATAATCTGGAATAATAACTTTCGATAATTAGAGACAATTGTAAAGAAAAAAGTTTTAACACAAACGTGCTATAACAGAGCTTCTTAATTACCTTGTTCTCCAGTGAGGGGTTAGCAACTGTAGGGGGTGCCTACAGGACCAAGCCTGGACCGTAAATCAGTGAGGCAGGCCAGGTTTTGCGTTTTGCAGTGACGTAAAATGCAGGAGGTTGTAAGGTTAGAATGGGACTGTGATGGTTAATTTTACGTGACAAGTTGGCTGGGACACGGTGCCCAGATATTTGGTCAAACATTATTCTGGACTTTCTGTGAAGGTGTTTCTTGGATGAGATTAGCATTTAAATCAGTGGACTTTGAGTAAAGTAGATTGCCCTCTGTAACATGGTGGGCCTCATCCAATCAGTTGCAGGTCTGAATAGAACAAAGTCTGACTTCCCTGAGCAAGAAGGAATCTGCCAGGGCCGGACCTGTGGCTTAGCGGTTACGTGCGCGCGCTCCACTGCTGGCGGCCCAGGTTTGATCCCAGGCGCGCACTGACGTCACCACTTCTCCGGCCATGCTGAGGCTGCGTCCCACATACAGCAACTAGAAGGATGTGCAACTATGACATACAACTATCTACTGGGGCTTTGGGGGAAAAAT